AGGCGGACGAGACTAGCGTCGAATCTGCACTTATGACGTTGGGCGATGGCAGCAACGGCTTGCAGCAAAGATTTCCTGGCAAAGGACAGGAATTGCTTGCCAGAGACGTGACGGTAGCGGTGGTGATAAAGAGGGAGAGTCATGGCTGTAGTACTAGAAGTCAGTATGCGGAAGTACGACAGCCTGTGCATGCTAGCACACCAGCGGAGGCATCATGAGAGAGCCCACTGCTGATATGCTATACATGCAGAAAGCAAAGAGAAGTTGACAGATACCTTGCATCCACTTTTGCATGTTTTAAAGACCAGGGCAGCTTGGACTGACACATTGAGACCTGCGGTTATGTACACTCCATACTCGCCAAAGGGCATCAAAGCAGGCTTGAAGTGCAACATAACCACTTGCATACCAAGACTATGGAGGTGGAGAGGAAGTGAACGATGTGCTGGCAGAAATCCCTTAAAAGCGGTATCGGCAAAGCGCATCCTGAGGAGCGCCCACAAGGAGGTGGAATTATCATTATTGCAACGATGGCAGGGCTGGTGGTCACAGCAGGGGCAGCACTAAATATCATTGCAGTGTATTAGGGTTGTGGGCTCCGGTACAGTCACCGCGCACGCAACCACACAGGCAACACCATCATGCTACTTCCATCAGCAAGCCCTCGGCCACGGCCTAGTGCCTACATGCGCCGTCGCTCTGTGACTCCTTCGCGGGCACGTCGACCTGTATCACAGGGATGTCAGTGCCACCACTCGGCACGGTCTCGTGCGGCGCAGCCCTGCTCATTGAGACCTTGGTGGCATCTATCACACTAAGCGTGCGTGCTATCACATGGGGAGGCGACATCCTGTGCGATGCGAGTTGAGAACTAGTCAGGAGGGACCTGCAGAAGGTCAGTTGCACCAGCACAGCCAGAATGACGAGCAACGCAATAACCAAGAGGGCCATAACACGGAACATCGACGTGGTGCGCTCAATCCATAAGCTGGCTTTATTGTACAGGTACACAATGTAGATACCCCACATAGAATTTGTTCCGGACTTGAGCTTAATCTGCAGGCCGACGTCAACAATGAGTCAAAAATAGAAACAAAATCTTTACTGACACGTCGTGCATGCTCAGCTTCTCGGCAAGCCGCTTCCGGAAGTTGTCCTCCGTGTCGCTGAGCTTCCTCCGCAGCACATCAACGTGGTCCGACATGTCAAGATGCGCTCGTGCAGGCGCAGCAGCATCGGGTCGTCGTCATGCAGACGCATCTCACCGGTTACCGCCGGTGTTCAGGAGAGGCGGGGCTGAGTCAACTTTGTCCGCATGGGCGACAGAGTGAGATGCAAGGAGGGATTGGGGGCGGCGAGGTGGGGGCGGCAGGCGGTGATGGGCAGTGTCTGGCTGGATACAGGCGGTGGTGGGCAGTGCTGGCTGGATACGCCGGCCGTCGCGTCTTCGGCTTCATCCAGGGGGTGCACACGGCGCGCGGTGGCGGACTATGTCTATGACAAAACAGGTCAGATGCGGCTTCATTCCAAGGCCCGAAACTAGTCCACGCACCTTTGTCGAGGTCGAGCTCGCAGATGAAATCACCCGCACGGATGATGATGGGCGCACGCGTGCTCCGGATCAAACAGGGTGCTTGCCATGGCGGTCTCGAGAGCTGGCGGATGATCCGCTGGGGACGAGGCGTACACAGCCCGGCTCAGCAGGAGCACGCTCATCGCTGCAGCACGTCGACGCAGTCCACTATGTCAAGAGATGCGCTTGTGCAGGTACAGCGTCGGGTCGTCGTGTAGATGCATCTCGCCAATGTCGCCAGTGTCGCCATCACTGGGGTTCGGGAGAGGCGAGGTGACTTCGCCCGTGTTGTCATCCGACCGAAATGAGCCCCTCGCTGACCAGCTGGTCCATCAGATGCACACGCGTCCAGGGCTTTGAACGCTTTGAGAGAGTCAGAAGGGTTACAAAGAAAGACGGGATAAGAACGCACCTGCTTCTGCCTGACAGGAGACTGGCCGGGCACATATGAAGTGGCAGTATCGACCGCCGTTCAACCCAGTGGTAGCAAAAATGAAGACCTGCCGCCCCGCCCTTTGCGACGCTAGTCACCGTAGAGAGAGACGCAGGCATGGCCATCATGGCAGCTGCAGAAGTTCAGCAGGAAACGAAGGCTGCGACACGGAAGGGAAAAACTGACCGTTGAGATCTGTGTCTATGAGGCACTCTGGTATGAGCGTAGCCAGCTCTGAAATCTCTGCCTTCATCGCTTGTGTGACCCTCTCTCCCGCCTCCGCTTCTCGTTCGCGATCGCAGCTCTGCACGCACAGCTCGGTCACGCTTCAGAAGGATAAATTTGGACATCCACTGCAGAGGCTACACCTTTTTGGTCAGCATTACGCAGCCGCGAAGTGATGAAAAAGAATTGTACATGGTCTGCGCAGCATTCTCTCCAAGCAACCTGTCTCACGAGAGAAATTTGGTACTTTTTTATCGCATAAAATATGCAAAAACAGCTTGAAAAAATAAATAAGAAAATGTCGTATGTTTGGTTGCAAAACAGAGTGCATTTTCCCTATGAAAATTGGCTATAAAAATTCACCCTGTTTTTGGGACTTGTTGGCGACACAATAGATCAAATCTTTCCCCCGAAAAAACTCTGGCTGTTTTTGTGTATTTTTTCTCCTACAGTAGCTCACCTTTCCGTGACAAAAAAATATCTCCTGCTTATATATATTTTCTTGAAATTTATCGCTACAAAAAAGTCGGACTTTTTCTCTTGAAACCACCGTGGAGAAAAGTCAGGATGTTTGCAGTGCAGAAAGCTCGTCGCCCACCGCGCCCGCCGCGCGCCCACTGAGCGCCCACTGCGCGGCCGTCCGTTGCCCCGCCGATAAGATAATCAAGCACCTGGCAACCCGGCAACCCGGCAGCTCGGCAACCCGGCAGCTCGGCAGACAAGCCTCAGACCCAGACCGTTTATCAAAGCGCCAGGCGACGGCGGCACCCGGCGGCACCCGGCGGCGCCCGCTGTAATTCCATAGGGCGTGGCTATGCGGTCCCCTCTCCGTTCCACTGTCTGCGCCATTGGTAGCTGACGTGTGTAAAATGTACATAGATACGGTAATCAGGAGGTCGAATCGAACATCGAAGAGCCTACAGATCTCCGGCTATCGCATTCAGAGAATGTTGCTGCGTTATCGGCAGAATCGTTGTCACAGCCGCCAAAGGGTTTCGATCCTTGACATCGCAGCAAGAAACCTTGAGATACAGTAATAATATATATTGCATAGGGAGTATACAAAATATGAAAAAATATGAATCACAACCGAACAAGGACGGTAGTCAAATATTACAAGCACCGCAGACAGAACTCACAAATGACCCATCGCCTCGCTGACAATGTCCCGGTCAATAGCGACGACCTCCTTGTGGTCCTTGTCGCCGGCAGGCGCCTTGGTCACGAGCAGGTGCTGGATGAGCGGCATCTTGTGCTCGTCGCTGACGTGAGACTCGCAATTGGGGTATCCGAGTGCTGAGAGGTCGCTCTTCTCGATGTTGTCGAGGGCGAAGGAGACTGAGGTTGGAAAGCACGAGCTGACCGGCGTGGTGGGCGACGCCGCCTGCATGTTGGCCCAGATCGGAACAGAGCTTCTCTGGGAAGAGGGACGTTGTGTAAGACTTGATGCATCGTACGGACGCAGATACAACGCACCAAGATGTCGCCCTGGAAGCCCATCGTGACAAGCAAAGACTTGGTGTTCACGCGCAAACTTCACGCGCAAAGAAGACTGTCCGTCCGGCCAAAGCCGAATTTTGCGTACGTCTTGGGTCATCGGTACGTTGGCGGTGCCGAGCCGACACTACCGTACAGTTTTCCAGTAGCTGTTGATGTACATGCGACGGTAACAGAGCATCGAGCGTGCTCGAGTTTACGAAACGAGGGCCGATCACTGCGAGAAAGGCAGGTCAAAGAGCGTGTATTATGTGGCGGAACCGAGAGACGACGAGGGAAAGAGAATGAGCGATGGTAACTGACAACGAGAGAAAACGAGCAACGGGAGCAGAGCGGCTATGTACAAAACATGTCTGCAGGGGTATTTGACCAGAGTCTGGCTAGGGACAACAAGACGGCTTCCGGGCAGTGGGCAAGGCGCACGATAACGGCCAGATGGAGAGTGCCGCACCATAGTTTCCAACCGGGCGACGACCATAGCTAGCACATGAGGTTAGCAAGCAGTTATCGTCCAACGCGATGGCAGCACTTACGATCAGCAGAAAAAGTAGCAGTAGAGCAGGAACATGGCGAAGAGGAGGGTCGGGAGCAGGCTCCAGAGGTGCTTGAGGATGACTAGATAGAAATGGAGCCGCACGTACAGGGCTACTGCTTGCCCGGCGATGTAGATGCCGAGCACGGCAACGACGAGGAAAATGAGAGTGTTCTGCGGACAACGTTTGTTAATGCACTTGGCGATCGAGCTTGAGACTCACCATGGTCAATGACGTCACTTTTTGCTGAGGAGGAGGTCGGCTGTTCTGGTCCGGCGGCCGATCGAGTGGGGATGCTGAGGTCGGGCACCGGCGGCTGAAAGCGCCCAAACTTGTTGGTCCACGTGGCTCATTTGGCGCCCATCTCCTGAGCCACGCCGCGCAGGCCTCGACAAAAACTTTCCATCTGAACACTCTCTCGCTCAATCTGATCGAGCGTCGGCGCGTCCAACGACCGCCTCCGGACACTGACCACGCATGGCTTATCCTGCCAGTCACAAGTGCCGCTAACGAGGCGAGCATGTCTGCTGGCCACTGCTAAGCCTGCTGCCACTGCAGCAGCAGTCAGCGACTGCCTCGGCCAACTCCATTCCTCGGAACTCGCCATCGCTCCAACTCTCCAACCGCGGCCGCCACGACTGGTCCCCATGCCCTCCGTGTCTAAACGCGCCACACCATGCCATCGCTCGGGCAGTCGGCCGATCCTGACTGTTGAATTCACTCGCAAGATCTGCCCAGTCTGCCCAGTGTCCGCTGCGCACTCCTGTGGGTCCATATCCCTATCATCGTCCACCTCGCGAGCCACGAGGGCCACGGCCCACACCACACCAGCACTCGTCTCTCCAGGCCTATTCATTCCGGCGGCATGTCGGCAGGTGGGCAGAAGAGCAAACGCTCTGCTGGGATCTGACCCGTCTTCGTCCCATTGGACGATCGCATTCGAGGGTGAGCACCCTTGCTTTCGCCTCTGTTGCGCGTGCTTTCCACGGACCCTGGGCTCATTCTCTCGGGCCTTCTGCCTCCTTCCATCAAGGGGCAATTCACCGGGTTTATTTGCCGGCAGGCTTCTCCCCTCCGCCATCCCCTTCTGCCCCATTTGTCCAACAGCCTCCATCGACTCTGCCCAGTCTCGAGCTCCTCTCGTAAGCGGGAGCTCATTGGGCCACACCCCTCTGTGCCAGCACTCTATCGCAATTTGGCGCATCGATGCGTCGCGCATGCGTTGTTATCGTGCCACTCGGCTTCTCGCGCAGACATTCAGTCGCGCCATCAAGCTGCAGCAGGGTCGGGGCAGGCATCCATGCATGGACTGACCACAACACAGGGCAGACTGAGAGTCACGTATCCAATCGACACCGCCACGCTTTGTCAATAATCTGTTCCCAAAGTAGACGCTATTGGCTCCCATCTCATCTTCATCTAACAAGCAGATGCGCTAGCCGCATATGAAAGCAGAGAGACAAAAATACACACGGCGCCGTACACGGGCGGCCGCTGCACGAGTCTGGACGGCGGTGCTCGCTGAGGTGAATGGCGCGAACCGCCGCTGTATGAGGGAGCGCCCTAGTAAGCTTTGGCAGGGCCACTGCGGACGTACGAAGCTTCCTGCGGCATCAACTCTTCTCGCCTCTCCGGCTTCGCGGTCCCTTGCGACGGCGAGAAGAAGAACTTCTTTCGCGTGCCCCTCCCCCGTCGATCAGCCGCGTGCCAGTACCACAACTGCTCGCTGTGCCCCATCGTCGTCCCAATTCGAGTAGCTGCCAGGGATTGTGGCGCCTTCGCTGTCCCACTCGTGCGCTCGCGACCGCGCGACCGCCCAGAGCTCGCGCCCGCCAACTGATGTGATGGCTGTACGTCCGCGTTACTCCACACTTTGCTCACTCACAATCATGAGCTTTAAACGAATGTGCATGACTTGAAACCGGTGAAAATGATATAGTAATACAGCTATTCGCTCATCCGTACGTAGAGCAGAGGAAGAACGTTGCGGGAACGCGTGATGAACCGGACAACCCAACGGCGGTAGAAGTCGTGTTACAGGCCATGTCGTGCACCGCCCGCGGGTCACGGGAGTAAACAGAACGAACACAGCATTGGGGACAGGGGCGAAGACGAAGGCAATGAAGACGTTGCCCTGACTGATGCCTGCGCGCCTAGTGTGGAAGTCAGCTGGGACTTTCCTGAACAGGAACAGGACCCAGCGCCAGAAACGAGAATACATGTTGGTGGGAGAGGGGAACGAAGGCGGGCTACGTAGTACGACTACACAGGCAAGGGAGCCACGAAGCGGGCCGACAGGTACATTCACGCAATGAGAAGGGTTGAGAGGCAAGCAGTACAGTGCGCAGGAGGTACGCACGATCGCGAGATGGAGAGGCTGACGAAGCTTGTGACGACGCAGAAGATCTCTTGCCTCCGCCAGAACCGCCGCTGGAGCACGACCACTCTGACACAGCGGATTTGCTGGGACTGGTGATGGTCGTTGTCAGGTAGGTATGCAGCTGGGAGGTGGGAAAGTGGAAGTAGCGTGATTGTGCTTATGATCGACTGATTGTAGTCCAAAATATTGGCTCGAGCCTGGTCAGTCGGACGGGTCGACGCGCTGGTGGCTGGGGCGGGGCTGTCCGTCCAAAAACAAATTATACGACGGGACATTGGTCGGTGGAGGAAATTGTGACAGAAGCTTCAGAGCTCGATGATCGCGTCGTGGGTGCTAAATTCGTGTTAGGATTTGCTGCAAGCAGGAGGGCGACGACGGGCGTACCGATGGTTGTCGCAGCTCGGCTCCCAGTGATCCGTGGTGAGGCACACCTCGCGTCTCGCATTAACAATAAGCTCCTCGTAGCACCGCATGATATAGGAAATCCTACAAAGCATCAGCATGCGGCAGAACGGTGTTGCGCAGCACTTACGAAGAAAATACCGACGAGGCTACAACGCTAGAGATGCCCATAATCCTACCGTACGCGATCTTCTGGGAAGTACCGAGCGGGTGTGCTAAGGTCGCGGTGCCAGCGACGGCCGTATCTTGTACCAAGGCCAGCCAAACTCACGCAAGAACGCTCACGCGAGAACTGCCAGGCTCCGGCTCTGACATTGCCACGTAGCTGCTAGTAGCACACATGACAATGCTGTAGCCAGGGAGTGAGGGCAGGACGTGAGGCCTTGAGAGCTGGGGGCGAGGACAGGGGGCGAGGGCGAGAGTGGTGGAGGTCCATGAAGAAGAACACGAGTGTAAGCGCGCGGAACCTGTCGGAGCACCTGTTGACCTTCCTAATTTAGAAGCAGCCCGACGGTAAGGGGAGAATCTTACTTCCAGCGGCATCCTCGCCCCTTAGTGCGTTGAACCCTCGTCTCATGTGGCGCGCTGTGACGCTCTCTCACTAGCGGCGCAGTGTTTCCTACTCCTGTCGCACGTGCAGAGTGTCTACCGGAGGGCTATGGTCATGAAGGTCTTCATTTAACGAGTTGGCCGCCTCATTTGTCATAGATCTGGTTGAGAGGGTCACCAGGAAGTGAAGGGCCGTGTATGCCGTAGCGGTCAACGAATGGATTTCAGTCATCGCCTAGGTATTCTTGGTGGTTCTAGATGCTGATTTGCTCAGCTGCTGCACATTCACGGCGGAGGAGAATGTCTTCAAGTTGCGCGGTAGAGTAGTAATAACACCGTCACGGTGAACAGGCAGAGCCCTCCAAGTCTCCAAATTTACATATTTGTTCCTGTGGGTCTAGACGATGGAGTAGGAAGACCCGAGCGCAATGCGCGATAACAATACTGAAAATCTTTGTCGGCAAAATCGTTGCCATAGCCGCCGAAAGGCTCTAATCCAAGACGTCGCAACAAGTAAACATGAGATACAGTAATCATACGAATTGCAAGGGGGGTGTACATAATACAAAACAAGAGATGAATCACAACCGAGCTTCTGTTAGCACATGCAATCTCTTGAGAACTTTCAACAAGGACAGTTTAGCGTATTTTAAGTAGCCCCCCCAATCTCCGGCACTATGCGGGGTCGCTTTACCTTCACGGATTGCCAGAAGCCGCGTCTGGAACCAATATTCATTCAGCAACGTCCAATATCCTAGATCTGCGCCCAAGTTGAGCCAGGTGGACTGTTTCGGCCACCAGGAGAAATCAGTAGCGCTGCGAGACGAGTGTGCTGATGCATGTTAGTAAAGATTAGCTGAAAGCGATAGAAGTAGAGCTTACGAGAGAGCACTCTATACACCCCGGAGATCAAGTCCTCCTCGTGAGTGGACAGAGCATCGTACACGTAAGATTCCCCATCCAGAAGCACTGTTGCCTGATGATGATGATGACCCCGAGGTTCCTAAACAGCCTGGTCCGGCTGGAGTGTGTTTACAGCCAAACGCCAGACAATCCCTCCAGCGCCCAGAGCAGCTTGAATAGCATGTCGGTTATTCAAAAAGAAGCTGTCGCGTACATCTTCATATGTTGCGTACTCTTCTTTGGTCGTGTGGAAGTTCGGCGCCCGAATACCGAGCCCCGCATGGAGACTAGATGTCATCTCACGAGGCACAGATATTGGGCGCTGGGGGGCTGAGAGCATGGTTCGGAAGGGGATTCCTTGCTTTGCAAGCTCTCGCACAACACTGCTTTTGTGCGACCCCCAGCCACGGCGCAGGACCTCGGCTACAGTTATGGGATTTTCCAGAATTAGCTGCCAAGGCCAGTCCCTAGCACGCTCCACATTGCGGGATTTGAGAATATAAACCTCTCGGGGGCCGTCGTCGGTCTGCAGCTTAACTTTTTCGACAATTATCGGAGAGTTGCGCGCTCGTAGGAAGTCATCACAACCATCGACCACCAAATCGCACAACTGTGGCGGGGGTAGTAATTCTTTCTCCAGAAAACCGGAAAAATCTTCAACAGCCTCGAAATACGCGGCAGGAATATCGTCTCTCCCAGCATCAAAGCCCAGAATACGATGTAAGAACTTGACCGAGTTTTTGATCCGCACTGCTTTGGTTGCTGATGTCGAGATGTAGGAGGGCTCCAGCTTGAACCCATATCGATAGTTCAGAACTGTAAGGATGGGCTCTACTTCAACGGGCTGATCAACGATATCTAAATCTGCGAACCACGACCGGAACGCAGACTGGAATCGCTCTCTATCAAAGCCACCTGTACTCGAAGATGGGCGACGAGAGAGCGTGCTGAAGGAAGGCGGTTTGTTTCAATACTCCCCGCGATTAATAAAGGGATATATCTCGTGTTCCCTTCGAGATTCGTAAGGGGGCCGAGAGAGTCGAACAGAGCAGCTTTGACTCGGGTCCTCAAAGCCAAGAGAATAACCGCGACGGGGAGATCGACTTCGGTCTCGATCCCCGCGGCAACAAGGGGAACGGCTTCGGTCTTGATCCTCACAAGAGGGGAAGCGACGAGGAAGGGAATATCTAGATTGTCAGTCCATACCGGATGACGGATGGGTATACTCCCTGTCGGACTCGGGAGCGCCTTTCGGCGTGTGGGGAGACGTACCAACGCTGGACCAGTCTCCGGGATCGAGGCCCTCTTTGTCGTCACTTCCTTCCCAAGAAGGATCGAGCCCTACCCATAAATCCCACTGCCCGCTCACTTCGTCGTATCGTTGTTGATTCGGACCGTAGTCCTTCCAGACGTCACGAATCTTCGTCTTCCCCACGATTCTCCACGAGAATGATCCGTCAAGTTCTTCTTCCCAAATCCACACCGAGCTACGTGTGGGGGGTTCCTCCGTCTCGGCAGCACGCCGCGCTATTCCTTCTCTGACTTCCCTTTGATAGGAGGATTCAATGGCTTTGATCTTCTGTAACAATGCGTCTCGTTCTGCGAAATAGTCTTCTGGCTTTTGTTGTTGCTTTCGGGTAGGGTACCTCCGCGGGATGCTGGAGTAAGAGGCACCATAAGCCTCCCGGGAGGAAAGTATTCGATGATAGGTTTCGGGATTCTCTAAAGCATCTGCTATCTGTTCCTTGGTTGGAGCATGCAACTTAAACGTCTGATGGGCGAGTGGAACAGATGGATCCTCGGGATAATGTAGCCATAGCGGGAGGCCAGGTACAGCAGAAATGGCATCGAAGTGGTGAAGCCACTGTCCTGAGAGAGTTGTGTCGACAAAGGCCCCAACGCGAGGGACAGTTTTGTACTTGGAAAATATCCAGGACAGCTGGAGTGCAATCTTAGCCTCATCTGGTACGTGCTTCCAGACCGAGCCAGTCAAATTCAGCGAGTCGATGAGGGAGGGGTTCATGCAACCGAGGCACGAGATGTAAGCCATGTGCAAGAGGAACGCCCACTGGGCCTTTTCCAACGCGTAGTATGCTGACTTACGATCCGAGAAATAGTGCTCGTAACCGTACTCTGACGGGGAAGGGGGAGACTCTAAGCCCAATGGAAGCGTCCCAGCCATTCTGGTGAGCAGGCCACGCAGCTGACCGAGCACGAACTCTAGTTGGGACCACTTGTAACGGGCTTGCTCGCTGAGACTAGTGCGCTGCCCAGTGTGGCCATTCGGTAACCGAACTTGACTAGTAATGAGAGGAAAGGGCGACTGCAGAGATTCAAATAGGCGGCCCTCAAAAGCGACGTCTCTGGGTATAAATGCAAGCCAAAAATATGCATCGGTTGCCCAGCAGGGGCGCATGTCCCTAGAGAACTGGATGCGGAAAGGCTCATCACGGAGAAGGGGTATTGGCTGCGGCAAGGGAGAGCCATGAATAGATACCCATTGCTGAAGGCGCATTTGCTCGACGTATTCGACGACCATAACTAGCCATTCCTTCGATGAAGATTCTTCCGTGGACTTAGACTCAAACTAAATAATATTTAGCGATGAATCTACGAAACGACGGGACGTCTGGACCCCCGTAGTCGGTCGAAAAGACAGCGTTGTTCTGACCGGCACCGTCAGCAACCCGCGAGCGTGAAGGACTCTCTCCACTGCTAACGTCAGCTGTTGATCGGATATCAATCAGCGGTATGCCGGCCATCGGTATGTCGTCAGTACCTCCGTCGGGGTAGGCGGAGATTCCAAAACGTGCCCCCGGAGCCATCGGAGCAGGCTGACAGCGAGCGGGATGAGGAAAGAAAGAACTTCTCGAGACAACGTCGGTATAGCCAACAATGCTTGTGTCAGAATCGGCAGCGGTACCGTGGTCTCGTGAAGACACCGAGGCGGGCTTGTGGCGAGAGGAAAACGAAGGAGAACGCTTCGGAACACCGTCAGTGCAATCGACGATGCTTGCTGTAGTTCCAAGTTTTTCTCTTTCTTCTTCCGAAATAGGAGCCAGCGATGTTTTGTCCTCGTTCAAGAACACCATGCCGTCGTCCGGTAGGACCACCGAGGCGGGTTGACGGCGAATGATGGAAGGCGAAGAGGACGGGCGGTTCGAAACGCCGTCAGTACGACTGACGACGTTTGGGATCTGCTTAAGGAATTCGAACATCAGTTTGTGTGACCAATCTGGCGGACAAGTACGAAGAACGACAAGCGGGGTACAGCATTGAACGTTGTATATTGATTCTGTATTAATTAGGGTGAAATGGTTGGCGCCCGTAATTACTTAAGTATCGTTCCTAATTAGGAAATATCCCGACGGTATGTTGCTCGCTCTCACCAACGTGAGGTCGACTGTCTGGAGATTCCTTGTGAGCTTCTCGCGCTTTGGCCTCTCTCCTCCACTGGTGCGTTTAACCGTGCGTTTGACCCGCCTCAGATGGCGCGCTGTAGCTCCGTAATTATACCAGGTGACGCTGACGCGGTGCGTCACTCTCGATCCCTCGATGTCTCTCGTTTCTTACTCAAATCATTGCCAGGCCACACACAACAACATTCAGTCTACTGGGTCGTACTCAGTAGATTGATTTCGCCTCTCTGTCTTAGTTCGACCACTTCTGGCGGCCGGCGTCCAGCGATGCACCCGTGCCCGTGCTCGCCTTCGAGGGTCATGCCTCGCGGATAGCTATCTCCACCACCTCTGCCACAGTCTACTTAGTCGCACTTAGCGGCTTGATCACACTTGCTGTCCTCACCTCCTCCCCAGGTGCTCGTGAGCAGTCGGCTCACCAGATCACTGGGTCATAATCAATGGCACGCTCGGGCTGGGCTCCGCTGTCGCTCCGCCTACCCATCCTCTAGAAAGTCGTGACAAGTATATTGGATCAAAGTACGACACACGATGCACACCTTCCTGCACATAATCGCCCCCACACTTCTTCCTACTCGCTGTCGTCGTCCTCTTCCACCTGATCAAACACCTCGCCGATCAAGACATAACCTGTCTCGGGCTTCGCAGCCTCTTGGCCCTTGGCGTGAATCTTTCTTCTGCTGCGGAAACTTCGAGGCGACGCAGTGTCGGTACGATGAGTTGGCTCTTGGGTTTAGGGTTTGGGGGAGCCGAGCCGAGCGAAGCGAGGCGAGGTGACGTTGCTGAGGTGAAACTGGAAGGCGAAGGTCCGAACTCTGTGAGGAGTTCCGGAGGCTTTCGTGGTGACACTCATCAGCGCATTCCAGGAAGTACTTATACCTTGCGCCATGGGACCCCGGGGAGGGGCAGTACCATGGACACCGCGTGCCGAAGCCGAAGCCGTCGGACGGGTGCGTAATGGGCATTATGACTATCCGCACTGTGATTGGCCGGCCCTCGGCGAAATCGGCGGATGGAGTCATTCTAACCTTGTAAGAGGCTCGGGCATACTATATGGGGATGGTCAGCAGGACCACATTGATGCGACTTAAGACCGGTTAGCGCGGTCAAAAGATGACGTATGTATGACGTCATAGTCACGTGGTGGATCCAGACCGTCGGGGGACCGCCCGCTGATGGCCGTAAGGCGCATCACCGACGTCGGCCCGACGTTCGTGGGGCGGGATGATCCGCCATCACCGCCCGCCGCCATCAAGCGCATCAGATGCGCCCGATAGCCGCCGGGACGATAAGCGCCTCGGTCGGCGCTATTTCTGGGTCACGTGATTTAGACGCTTTCCTACACGATCACGTGGTCGTACTTCAGGCG